TGGCATCTCGGCTTCAGTCACTTTCCCATCACCGTAACATAGCTTCCCTATTCTATAAATACTTTCATGGTAATTGTTCTGATGAACTTTCCTCTTTTTAAATATCCTTATTTTTATCTCCCTTCCCCTTTCAGGCAAATTATGCATATGGGAACTAGTTAGAACTACATAGAGACTTTGAGGTATTATGGTGATTGTAATAAGAATAGTAAGTAAGAATGTGTTGTTTTGGTGTAAGGAATAGTGTAGTTTGTTTGGGTCAGTAATTGTGGCTAGCTAAGTTTAAGATGAGATGGATTGAAGACCAACCTTCTCCTATCCCTCCTTTTGGGTTATTTCACATTTTTGTATTATTCAAAATAAACATTACTTTCTTTTATGGTACCTAGACTTTATGAATTTAAGTGCAGTACTATATTGGCAGTAAGGTCTCCTCATTTTACAGTTGAAATCACTAGATATAAACATAAGTTCTATGCTAAATTGACAAAGACTTTTTGATCATGAGTTTGGTGAAACTTCTTGACTTATAAGAGAATTTGAATTCATAAAGTTTGAAGAGCTATCTGAGATTATGAGATCACTAATGTTTAAAAAATCCTTCTTTCACATTTAATTAAATATGTACATACATCTGCAATACATTTTTATAGTAAAATGACCAGCAATCTATTTTTATAGTAAAATGACCAACAATACCTTTTTATAGTGAAATGATCAGTAATACATTTTTATAGTTAAATGACCAGCAATATATTTTTATAGGAAAATGACCAGCAATACATTTTTATAGGAAAATGACCAGCAATACATTTTTATAGGAAAATGAGCAATACATTTTTTATAGGAAAATGAGCAATATATTTTTATAGGAAAATGACCAGTAATACATTTTTATAGTAAAATGAGCAATACATTTTTATAGTAAAATGAGCAATATATTTTTATAGAAAATGAGCAATACATTTTTATAGTAAAATGCCCAGCAATCTATTTTTATAGTAAAATTATCAACAATACCTTTTTATAGTGAAATGACCAGCAATATATTTTTATAGGAAAATAAAAAATTACCTTGCGGTGGTTCTAACAGCGCCAAATATTGGAAAAACACAATTGTTTTTGCACAAAATCAATTTGAAAGCACGGTTAAGTGTATCGCACCCGGACGGAAGTTACTGCCGGCTACTCAAATGTCCGAATGCCGTTAACTTCCGGTGATTCAGCGGTTTTTTTTTCAGAGAGAGAACGATACACAAAAAGTAAACATGAAATCTAAACATACACAAGTCCTCCTAACTAAAAATAATAACTGGAAACTACTTTAAATACATATGGTGTCCAAATTTTTTTTACTGTATTCAGTAAGTAAAAATCATAAATTGTAAAAGATTACAGAAAGGCTACTAAATGAATAAGATTTGTTAGATCATAGTTAATAAACCCAAATGAAGTTAATATTTTTTTATTAGAAACAATGAGTGGAAAATATATTCAAATCAGAATTCTAATTATGAATCACCACAAGCAAAATATGCAATTTTTTTACTGCATTCAATAAGTAAAAATCATAAATTGTAAAAGATTACAGAAAGGCTACTAAATGAATACGATTTGTTAGATCATCTTACTTATTATAAAACGCAGATTGTGTGCGTGTGTGTGTGTCTGTACGTTTATATATTGGATTGGATTTCCTACATTTTTCAACCGATTTTAATAAAACTTCACAGGACTACATAAAATTACCTTGCGGTGGTTCTAACAGTGCCAAATATTGGAAAAACACAATTGTTTTTGCACGAAATCAATTTGAAAACACGATTAAGAGGCATCACGAGAATGAAAGGGGGACAACTCATATCGAGTTATACTTATTATAAAACCCAGGTTGTGTGTGTGTGTGTTCATTTATATATGGGATCGGATTTCCTACATTTTTCAACCGATTTCAACAAAACTTCACTTTTTTTTGGCAGGTAGTGTTTCTTATTGTCTTGCAGACTTTTTTCTGAATTTTTACATACAGAATGCTTTAAAAATTCCATTTACAAGACAATTGTTTATAATAAAATTCTATTTAATCGGTAGATCCATAACAATTGAAAACAATGTTTTTGTTTGAGTTTGGGTTTGACCAATTCGTAAAAAAAACAAAAAAAAAAAAAAACAGAATTAAGAAATGCGTGTCCATCAACCTTAAACAATAATCTTTGTCAATTTCATTTTTCAGTCTTTATGATGGTCGATACTTGATCTATCTCTTACTGTTACATCCCCGGGCAACGCCGGGCTCTACTGCTAGTTCTTTCTAAGAGCTGCTGCCTTGTGGAACAAACTTCCAAAAGAATACTTCCCCAATCATTACAATCTTAACAAACATCAATTCTAGGGTCAACTGTTATTTATCCTTTATATCTTCATAATCTACAATTCTTACATTCATAAAACAACCCCATTCAGTAACCGTCTGCTTTAAATGGCTTAAGTGGATGAACAATAGTATAAAAAAATGATGAAAAAAAAAACTTTGTATATTGATCATTTTAAATTTTGTTACCTCTATCCCATAATAGTTGATACATTTGCATAAACATTTCATACACTGTCAACAATTTTGGTATGAAGAGTTATTATTTACATTACTCATGATTATTTCAGTAATTTTGCACTCAAGTAATAGATTAGTTCTAAGGCTTGACATTAAGTGGATTAAAATAGTAGTTTGTGAATTTGGTGGCATAGAATTTGTGTGTTCAGTCCCTGGGCCAGGTAGTAGACTCACACGCAGTGGGAATAAAATGAGCAAATAACTGAGCAGTACTAAAAAAGAACAAGATGAGATATTAGAAAGTAGTACATTTGTCCCATAATAGACGTTACACTTGCATATATATTTTATACACTAAATGTCACAACAATTATGAGACAAGGGTAATCGTAATCTTTGGATAATTTTTTCAAAACTTTGTTAATAACTGAATGATGAAATTTGAGGTCTGCTTCAGCCTTTACTTACAAGCCTAATTAAGTTAATGTTGTTTTGAAATGGAATCATAGCTCCAATTATTTAGTAGTCACAATGTAGTCATTATTTCTCGTTGAGTTATAAACTTTCTATTTAAAATCATTGGACTGGCAAGTCATTTTTAGTCATAGGACTGTCATATGATGGGATCTATGAGCAAATAAAGATTGACTCATATTAGATTTCGAAATAGAAATAAATCCACTTATGGCAAACTGCAAAGTTTCCAAATGATGAGCTTTAAACAACTTTAATTTGTATGTATTTTTTTTCTTTAATATTTGTTTCATTTCACTTAAAACATTTTGCCAAATGTTAATATTTCTACATGATTCATTTGTTTCATTTGGCTTTATTGATTCATCTTTATCTATGATAACAGGCGTATTTGAGACAGCAGACTGTGGGGTTCAGTTGGGTTGGTTGATTTGAAGATATGTAAACACTTGTTGAGTTATTAAATATTGAATATTGTATGGGGGCAGGGGGTTGTAGATAGTTTAACAAATAACAGCATAGAAAGAGGAATCAGTGATATATAGATAGATATGAATAGGCTTAGATTGATAGATATGAAGAGTCTTAGATTGATAGATTGATAGATATGAATAGGCTTAGATTGATAGATATGAAGAGTCTTAGATTGATAGATATGAATAGGCTTAGATTGATAGATATGAAGAGTCTTAGATTGATAGATAGATATGAATAGGCTTTGATAGATATGAATAGGCTTAGATTGATAGATAGATATGAATAGGCTTAGATTGATAGATAGATATGAATAGGCTTAGATTGATAGATAGATATGAATAGGCTTTGATAGATAGATATGAATAGGCTTAGATTGATAGATAGATATGAATAGGTTTAGATTGATAGATAGATATGAATAGGTTTAGATTGATAGATAGATATGAATAGGCTTAGATTGATAGATAGATATGAATAGGCTTAGATTGATAGATAGATATGAATAGATAGATATGAATAGGCTTTGATAGATAGATATGAATAGGCTTTGATAGATGAAGATAGATTGATAGATAGATATGAATAGGCTTAGATTGATAGATAGATATGAATAGGCTTTGATAGATAGATATGAATAGGCTTTGATAGATAGATATGAATAGGCTTTGATTGATAGATAGATATGAATAGGCTTAGATTGATAGATAGATATGAATAGGCTTTGATAGATAAATAGATATGAATAGGCTTAGATAGATAGGCTATTCATATCTATCTACACTGACAGATATTGGGTCCAAGTGGTATATCATGTCACATTCAGGCCCTTTCAACTTAATCTCTATCATCCTATTTGAGCTACAAGATTCTGGAGATGAACTTACAATGAATAGCCAAGAAAGCTGACCATAGTTGGGATCATTACTTTCCTTAGCTGCATTTAGTATTGCTATAATGTTATCTTTATTCAAAATAGCTGAGAATTAGGAAGGCTGTAGTTACAGAGAGTATCAATGGAACAGAAGACTAAGTAGAAGAAACAAAATTTATTAAGTAATCATACATAGAATGGAAAAACTTGAGTAAATCAAATACTACTCAAATCCTACTCTAATTGGAATATTCATAAGTAGGAGCAGTCCATTGTCACAGCAGCAGGGAATAGCAGGAAGTATACTGAGCTAAGGCTACATATGGTTTTAAATTCAGAGTTGTTTTTCAAGACATGCTAGCAACCAAGGCCAAGCAATCCAGTCTCATTTTCTATTAACCGATATCTGTGGTGAGAAGAGGTGGATTCATACCTTTTCCAAGGGTATTTGCATATAAGTGAATCTAATGAACATGACTGAAATTTGAAATTGGAAAGCAGTGTTCACATTCTGAGTCAATTTCACCAGTTGAGTTTGTTACATTCACTTTCATACAAATATTTTTGGGGAAAAGTGTGAAAATTGATCTCTTCTACTATTGATTAAATAGACTGAGATCTTTAGCCATGGTTGGCAGCATGTGTAGTTGAAGGACGGCTATGAATTCAAAAACTCAGACGGCTAAACATTCACAATCTGGATAATTCCTCTATTTATCTATCTGTCTCAGCCTATTCTTATCTATCTATCTATCTATCTATCTATCTATCTATCTATCTATCTATCTCAGCCTATTCTTATCTATCTGTCTCAGGTGATTCATATCTATGTATCTATCTATCTATTGCAAGCTATTCATATCTATCTATCTATCTATCTATCTATCTATCTATCTATCTATCTATCTATCTATCTATCTATCTATCTATTGCAAGCTATTCATATCTATCTATCTATCTATCTATCTATCTATCTATCTAAGCCTATTTCTATCTATATCTCAGCTTATTCTTATCTATGTATCTATCTATATCTCAGCTTATTCTTATCTATGTATCTATCTATCTGTCTCAATGATTCATATCTATGTATCAATCTGTCTCAGGTGATTCATATCTATCTATCTATCTATCTATCTATCTATCTATCTATCTATCTGTCATTTTTGATGGTATATAAAAAATCACTTTCATTCAGTAGAGAATATTAAGAAGGAAAAATTGTTGGATCATGCCTTAAATTTTACTGGAACTTCATCCTTGTTGATTAAAGTCTTGTTCCATGAATTTGATGACATAGAAATTGTGAGTTCCATGCAATTCAATAACTATAAGCTGTACTAAATAAGAACAAAGATGAGTTTATCCCAATACATGGACAGTGGAATAAATAAAGGGTTCAGTTCAGAATTTTCTGAAGGTTACCTGAATTGACAAGCATTTGATAAGGGAACAATAACCAGAAAATTGTGATAATAACAACAAAGATGAGGACACTAGTCTGAATGTAAATAATTTCCTTTTGTGCATTTGTTACAAATGTATGAGATTCTAATTCCGGGAGGGAAAAACTGGTTCTTCTATACTGCTAAATAGGCTAATAAAAATACCACTTTGTCCCAAGGCTTATTTATCAGATAAGTGATAACATAATCACTGCTGTCTATGTTAACACTTTTTTAATCTTATTTTCATTCTTTCTTTCTTTTTAAATACACAACAGTTGTGGCCGCTGTGGATAAATTAGCTTCATTATGGGTCAGTCACACAGCTTTCCAGAAATGGTCAGCCACCTTGGCATTGTTCAGGGAAAGCTGACCAGACATTTGGACATCATTAAGAAAACTGCTGTGCTCACGTATGATGAATTTTTGGACTCGGTCAATGAACTCAATCGAACGTAAGTATCAACCATATTTATATCAAATCATTTTATTTTAAAAAAAGAAAAAAAACCAAGGGAGGTAACTTTTTTGTTCTGCTTGTTAAAAGATTTCAATTTTTATTTATTTAATCAATTCGGACATAATGCCAAGAAGATGCAAGTGGCTTTTGTGAGTGAAAGAGAATTAAAAGACTTTAGAAGGAATCAGAAATCTAATTCTAAACAGAGAACAAGGGATTTTTAAAAGGAGTGGTTAGTTAGGGATTGTTCATTTTTTCATTAGTATTATTAAATGACTTGTATGCCGGAGGAGAGTAGCTTGATGTTCCTTTTCGGTCTAACATTTTCTGCTGACATGAAGTGGAAAGATTATATTATACCTTAGCCGGGTATTGAACTCACACTCTTTGGGTCCTGTCACTGGATCTAACAATCAGTGACCTCTTGTGTCTTAGTGGCTTTATTGCTTTTCTTAGGGTGAAATGATTAAAATAATGTGAATAGATAATGAATTAAGTAAGTATAGCAAAGTAAGAAAAAGAGTGGGGCAAAGGCATATAAATAAACCAGATTTATTTAAGCTGTATAGCAGGGATCAGCAACCTATGGCACACATGACACATGTGCCACACCAAGCAATTTCCAATGGCACACAGCCACAAATGACATCACAAAGTCTGAACCAATAACTACTACAATGCAAAGAAGATATTTAGCTGTTTCAATTTTAATATATACTAAAGTACTAGCAGCATGGCCTGGCATTGCCCATGCTTGATTAAAAAATCGTACGACTCATACAGCAATCGCTATCACTTGACTTAAAATATTTTTGCCCTTCCTTGCCTTTAAAGGAGTGCCCTTTGCCTTGCTGATGTTGCTACATGCTTTACTTCTTGCCTATCTCACACTGCAAATTTTTTCTAAGCTCTATACTAAATATTAAATCTGTTACAAAAAAAGAACCAAACAAAATGAACACAAAACGATCAGCTTTAAAAAAGGATTTGTAACTGGGAAAACTGAATGAAAAAAGGATGTTAACAACAAATACTTTTTCACACCCAACCCAGTTCTGCGGAATCAGAATCAACGTTGAGTTTAAGTAAGCGAATGAGCCAATTGGAGTAAAGTGCCATGCAGATTTTAATTTTTCCCACTTGTGATGAATGCAGCTATCAATTTTTTTGCATGCTAACATGCTAGTTAACATTCGTGTCAGTCAGCTATTGGCTCTCACGCTGGTTAATAGAATCTTCCTGCTTATTTGTGGCAGCCAGCTATTGGCTCTCATTCTGGCCAGTACAAAATGGCTGTAAACTACATGAAAACTGTCATAGAAGCATGAAAAAATCAATTATTTTCACTATTGATGGGAGTTGGAAAATGCAAAGTTGGTCTTGGCCTTCCCGCTAACTTTGTGCATGTAAATTTTGATGCAAATCCATCGAAAATTGTTACACACACACACACACACACACACACACATATTCTGCCTTTTATAGATAGAGATATATGTTGAAATCAATTTCTTTGAAAGTTCTCAACCTGGTTCTGATACAATGAATTTCTCAATCTTTTAAGCAACATTACACCAAGGAGCAAATGAATATATCATGGCACACTTAGAAAATTTTTTAAAGGGTATTTTAAAAAATGAATATTAAAACAAAGTATTTTAAATAACATAATTAAAGAATAGTGAAAAGAATTATTTGAAAAAAAAGTTTGATACTTATTCATTTATTCAAATACTAATTACTACTTCCACACACACACACACACATATATGGATGCTGTGACAATATTCCACAGTATATTTAAGAGGATTGCACATCACACTAGTGTGCCATGTCATGGCATTTGGGAATCATTGCTGTAGCCATTCATTCATTCATTCGCTACAAGAGTTACACATTGGGGATATTGAAATCAATCGGGTGTAAAAATTCATCTTTCTGGATAGTGTAGCAACAGATAGCAGAAACCGCAGCACAGAACATCAAATGCACATAGGAATAGTGAAGTATACTTTACAGACACTGAATAAGACATGGCAATAAAAAACATAAAATTGGAAAGAAAAAAAAATGTTTGTAAGACTGTGATGTAATGTCTACTCTCTTATGTGGCAATGAATTGGAGACAGTTTTTTTCATAAATGAAAGCAACTGAAATGTGGTTTTACTGACAAATGTTAAGATTGCCATAGGCAAAGCATGTGACAAATTGAGTGAGTTTTAAGGTGAATAGGAACTAAAAAGAATCTGTTGGTTAAAATCAGAAAGTGGCAGTTGAAGTTTTGGGGACATATAATGGGGAAGAAAATGCCTGGAGAATTTAATGCTCACAGGGTGCATCAAAGACAAGAGAAAGCAGTCAACAACCTACTTAACAAGTTTATATAACTGGAGAAACAAGTTTGGGTAGTGTATCGCGGGGGAGGGGGAAAAGACAGGGTCACAAAGAATCAAGTATTGCTGATAGCAACAAAAAACACAAAGTTGTGTAGAGGAGTGATTGCTTATACCCTGAGGCAGCACAGGACTTGGTGGTATTTAGTTGACTTTTATCAAAAGATTTGTGTCTCACATTTCAGAAATAAAGTTGAGCTTTGATAGTAAGCAGAAGGAAAAAGTGATAAGGTCCTTGAGATAAGCACATACCAGGAGATAGAATAACGAAAAAAAAAGTTTTATTTTAACTGTAACATTTATCATTTCATCTCAGTTTTTACTTTTATCTATTTATACATTTATTTATTTTGAAGTTTTCTTATCCCACACTGTTTCGGTACTAATTTATTAAAAACAGGTGATAAACTGAAACATCCCTAATTGTAGAGGCTTCGTAGATCATTGCACTTTCAATGGATCTTTGAGTAAATTAAAGTAAAAGTCAAGTGTTCACATGTCTAATGTGAATCATGTGGCGTCTTGCTAATGTAGATTTTGTTGAAATAAAAATAATTTTCCTGATAATGATGGTTCATTTGTTGAAATAAAAATAATTTTCCTGATAATGGTGGTTCATTTGTTGAAACATGTCAAAATAGAGGTTTTTTTCAAATTATCTTATATATTTATCATGGTAAGAATTATCCACTGATGGAAAATCAAATTACAAATCCCTGAACATATGTTACAATTTACTCAAGATTAAATGATAACCTAAGTGGATTACAAGCAAAAAGGTCAAAGGGTCATATCTTGGGAACTCTTTGACCTAGAGAAATAAAATAGGCACCATTCAATTTGTATCATGAAGTGTACCAAATTTGAAAAAGAAAAAAAAACATCTGTGTTGGTGATGGTCAGACACTTACTTAAAGGTCAAAGGGTCATGTCTCGAGTGAGGAGGGTGGTGGTTGTTGTTGTTAATGATTCCACTGTTGTTTTTATTACTACTACTACTACTATTATTATTATTATTATTTCTTTTTTATTGTTGTCCATACTACATGTATTGTTTTATTTCTTTTAATTATTTTTTATTTTTATTTATTAATTTTTTACTTATTTATTTTTTATATTTTATGATTTTTTTATTTTAATATTTTATTTAAATTATAGTTTTATAATTTTATATTTAACTTTAGATTTAATATTCAAAACTTATATTTAACAATTAACTTTTACTTATTTTTAATAGTTGTATTTTTATCAATTTATTTTTATATCTAGTAATTAATTTATATTTAAATTAATCATATGGTTTATTTTTTAATTTATATTTAATAATTAATTTATATATCACTTATATATTGTTTCAAATTTATTTAATAGCTTATATTTATTACCTATTAATTTATATTTAATATATAATGTTTTATTAAATTTACTTAATAACGTGTCTTTAAAAATTATTTCATTAATTATTATTTCAATTATCATATTATACATATTATTATTTTAGATGTTACCTTTTAATTACCCTTCCTTAAAATTTTTCTTAAAAATAATTATAAAAACCTTCTCTAATTTTTTGAAGTTTGAATTTCTTCTGTAATTTTCCCTTATTGAAACTAGATATTAATATTTTAAAATATAGGTCAAGGTTATTTTAACTGGTGTCTGAATCCCAACACTTCCTACCACCATGAAACTGTGTTTAAGCTTTGTCTAGACAATTTACTTTGTCTTTAGATATTTTATCCCTTCTCCCTTTCCTCTATTTCTCCCTGTTTTTTTCTTTTCTCCTTTTTCGTTCTCTCTATTTTTTCTTTTACTTTTCATCTTTCCCTTTCTCTTTCTTTCTTGATTCTTTAAAGTTGAAAATTTTTAAGCTCCCTTTAATTTTATCTCCAAACTCCTTGCAAGGTAATTCTTGCAGGGAGAAATAGATATACGTATAGGGTATTTTTGAATTTCTCTTACATGTAATTCATTTATATATGCTCTGTAATAAATACATTGAGCTCTCTTTGCTGATCAGTTTTAATATTTTATATTATTAGGATTCACTTGCATTATTTACCCACGGATTTTTGCACACACACACACACACACACACACACACACACACACACACACACACATATATATATATATATATATATATATATATATATTTGAATAAACTGTTTTATATACAGCATATTTTCAATATTTGTCTATATCTCTGAAATGAGGTATTATGATTACTTATATTATTTACATTATTTGGACTGTTATCCTCATCTTCATTGCCATATTCACAATGTTTTGTCCGTTGTGTGTTCTGGCCTTCTTCAGGTGATTGGAATTTTGAACCGAACCCTTTATTTCCTCAAGGACACATGGCCCAGTGGATAAAAGCTTTAGATCCATTGACTAGATGTGAGTTCAATACCAGGCTATAGCAGTGGTGAATCAAAACTTGCAGAGTTGAGTTAAAAGGGAAATAATTGAGACATCTGGAAGAGGCATGGTCCGTGGAACAAGAACAATCTACCCTGGTGGACAAAATAAAGGGTTTGGTTTGAAATTCCAGTCACCTGAAGAAGGCTGGGGTGTACAACGGCTGAAACATTATGAATATGTAAATGAAGATGAAATAACAGTCTGAATAATGTCAACAATGTAAGTAATCATATTTTCAGTTGTACACAGGTTTATTTTTATGTCTTTGCAGTACTGCTAGCTTTGCTGATCGTAAAGGAAAACAATTACGTTTCTCTGTATGCATAGGAACAGATGACACATTATTGTGGAAAGGAACGGTTAGGATACGTTGCCAAAAGGTGAGATATGTTTTCTAAATTCTTTGTTCATTTTAATTTAGGAATAATAGACTACTCTTTGTGAAATTTTTGTTAAAGAATTGTCTTTACCATTTTGATGTACAGAATAAAAACAGGATTATTTCTGGGTATGAAAATAAACTACATCTGGCAGCAAGGCTCTGATTGAGAGATTGGAGCTTTTGAGGAGCGTGGAACCACTTCTTAATTGCTGCTGTTCCCAGGTCTACCCTGACCTCGTGTGGTAGCACCTGTTAGGGTTCCAGCTATGGAAAAATAGTGAACCCTCAAACAAAAGCAAAACACTATGAAAGTATAAAAATACATTTTTATAGTAAAAATAGCAGCAATATATTTTTATATAAAACATGACCAACAATACATACTTATAGTAAAATTACCAACAATACATATTTAAAGCAAAATGACTAAGAAAACATTTTATCTGTAGTTGAAGGCATACAATTGTGTACAAAATATTTAGATTTCAGCATTAAATAACCTGTAGAGGTTGATATTCTATTAAACAAAATCAAGCAATCAACTAAAAAAGGATTGCAGTTTTTATAAAAAAAGTAGATTATGGTTATATTAAAAAACTAGATTACCCATGTTGTAAAAATGGCAGCCTTCTGTAGGATTAGGTTTTCAAATGTGAGTCTTTAAATATTTCTTTTTCCATTATTATTCAATTTTTATTGTTATACTCTACTTTTCAGGGTTGGTCTTTTCAGCAAAATATTTAAAAAGAACCAAAACCAAATGAACAAACAGACAGACCAAAAAAATAAACAGTGTTTACTGTTGATGAAAAGTGGTTACTCTACAATAAGCAGAAATGTGACTTTCTTTTGGTTGACATGTTGCTAACATTCCTAAAATCAAATCTCTACTAAAATATTCTCTTGAATATTTGGTGGTGCTGCAGTGTAATCCATAGTAACTTCTTACAATTTGATCAGACCACAGCCAAGTAATACTGATGTGATTTGGAACCAGTGTATCAAAAGATGTAAACATTTTGGCCAAGAAAGAATGGAGGCTGTCTTACTACAGAACAAAGCTTGGCCTTATACTTTACAAAGCATTAAGTGAAAACTGATGCAAATGAGCAAGATGCTGCCCATTATTAATTACCACTTTTACTGGGGCTTAGATACTAATACATGCCTGTAGGTGAACACTAATATAGATCAAGTCAAAAACACCTTTGGTGGTCCCACTTTGTATTATGATGAAATTATTGTCTGATTATTAGCAAAGCTGTGTCAATTCTTATATTTACCTCATATTTGAGCCGAGTTATGGCATTTTTAAACTGTGTGGTTCAAAACAGCCATTTATAGCGTCTCAATTTGATATTGTTATGTTATTTTATTATTATTATTATTTTGTATCCTTAAAGAGGTTACAAACAAAGGTGATATTTGAGTGAAAGGAACAGCAACACATGCATAGATGAAAGAAAGAGAGGCTTATTGTAAAAGAGAATACACTACTGAAAGACAGTAAGTTGGTTAGCAAACTAGTAATTCCTAAAGCAAGTCTGCCAGGTATATCCTTTGCACACTATATATATATATATATATATATATATACTGATATAGTCAGTCCACATAGGCAAAAAGGAGTATGGGACATTCCATTACTACATATTAATTTCTACTTGATTTTTTTATGTACACTTTTTGAAAAAAATGTCTGAAAAATATACATAGAAAAAATATCTTCCTGTGAAGATATGTGAATTAGATTTTTTTAGGTTAATTTAATCCCCAATGATCACTACCATAGGCTATCATTTTAACTTTGCTTTTGTTATAATGGAATGTCCCACACTCCCTATCGCCTATGGGGACTGACTATATCAGTAGATATATATGGTGAGCATAGGATATACCTGGGGGCTTGCTTCAGCAATTAGTTGGAGATTCGTCTCCAGCTAAGCTAGTCGAACTCTCTGCCTTCAGGCAGAGAGGAACCCAGATGAGGCTATGCCAAAGGGCAGTCTCGTCTAGGGTGGTAAACAGCTACACAACCCCATTTTTTACAGGGGAACTTTTGCCCGAGCATATGGGCTCGGATACCCCATGTTAAATTCGGCCTTGTGCCACATCTGACCACATGGGGCGGTTGGCAAATATCCTTGCTTCGAGAATTACTAGCCTGCCACTTGATTCCCTGTCTTTCAGTAGTATATTCTCTTTTGCAATAAACCTCTCTTCTTTTATCTATGTGCGTATTGCTGTTCCTTCACTTGAGGACCACCTATATCTATTTGTAACCTTCTTTAAGGATACAACAGATTTGTATAGTATGAGATGCCCTTAACGCTCAATCAGAGACTTCAAAAGATAACAGGTTTTTTTCTATCAGAAGATGCAAACAGATTAAGTGTTATGCAATCAGATAGAAATATATGTCATTCTAGTTACTGTATGGAGAGAAATCTATGCAAGATATGAGAAGAACTCATGTATATGATTTTTTGCCATTCATATATTTTAGGGCTTCCAGAAATTTGGTCCCCATATTTGTTTGCACCTTTTGTTATCATTCCAAAAGCAAATAAATAAATAGTGTAAATAAACAATCAAATAGTGTTTAATAATATTGTTGTAAATATTGTAAGAACAAAAAAAATGTATAAATTCACTTTCATCATATGTTTACATTTTATTACAATTCTAATCACCTCTTTTCTTAAAACAATAAACATTGCCAAAGAGTGGAGGTAGTTAAAATAATAACAAAGTTTTGATACACTGTCTCTTTTTGAGTGGAGGGCATAAAGGTCCAAGATTGCCAAAAAAAAAAAAAAGTTAGGATTTTCATAAATTTGTTGTGAATGCACAAAAGGAAATTAGTTTTGAACTGGGATAAATGGCTGAAGTTCCACTAACATTTGATATAGTATTCAACCATTGAATATGCCTTCTGCTCAAAAGAGGGTGCATTTAGTACACCCATGCATCTTTTATGTCATCAAATACACTACATTTTTTTTAAAACAATTACATGCACACACCTACACACACACACACACTTCACAAATGCTATAGAAAAACGTGAATTGATCTCCTCTGGTTATAAGCAAAAGAGCAGGGTAGACTGGTTTTTTTAGCCTTGGTAGGCACATAATATAAGAATCTGAGAAAAGGACAACTGAATTTAAAACAATGGAGAAAGCCAAAAGAAACCACACCACTATCTTTCCTAAGAACAATTATGATACAGTTGACTGTGTTCAGAAGACACCTAAGATACTTTGTTCATCCGAATGTTTCTTTCAATGATATTTTGTTATTGTATTTTTTTTTTAGATTAACATAAGTACAATGAAAGTGGAATCTTCTCGGCTCCTTAATCTTCGAGAGTATGTGCTTCTCTACAAGGAAATTACAGAACAGATTGGAAATATGAATATGAATGAAGAGACAGATGAAGATGTTGGCTCATGTTCAGCATCACTTCTTTTTGATGAGTATGCATAACCATCTTTTTAGAATCAATTTCTAAAATTAGAAATTAAATTTAATTGGTTTTTAATTTGTTCTTTAATTAATATTGAAAAGATCTTTATTAATGGTCTTTAATAATTATTATTTAATAATCATTATTTCATTAATAATCTTAATTAGATTACTAAATAAATTACATCATTTAGATATTAAATTGATTAAATTAATCTTAATTATTAGCAATCATTATTGAATTAATAATAATTATTTGATAATTATTATTTAATAATCATTATTTTTAATGGTCTTTGATAATAAACCTTTAATTTTATTTATTTTTTTTTTTTTTGGCATTAAATGTTTTTAGTTTTTTTGAACACAATATTGTGGGGTTGATATTCATTTTCTGTTGGCAATCTATCAATGAACCAAAATTGTTTAGGAAATCAAATCCTAGTAGGAGGTTTTGAATGTCCACTAGTACAAATGTCCACAGAAAAGATTGTCAAAAGATTGGTAGGCTTATCTAAGATTTAATTGGTTTTTAATTTGCTCTCTAATTAATATTGAAAAGGTCTTTATTAATGGTCTTTAATTATTATTATTTAATAATCATTATTTAATTGGTGTTTAATTTTGTCTTTAATTAATTTTAAATTTAATTAAATTTCTAAATTTTTTAGAATCAATTTTGTGTTTATTTTTAGAGAAAAATAATTTTTGTATATGTGTTGAAATTAAATTTTGGTTTTGATTCATTTAAGCCAAAGTATTTTTATAGGAAAACATTTTCCATCTATTTTTATATACTTTGAATGACATTATGGGTGCACCTCCAAAAATCTATAGGACCAGAACCTGGTAGCTGATCTTTCCCTTGATCAAGCTCTAACAGCTCAATGGGAAAAAAATGGCTGTAACTTTCAATATCTCTAAAACCAAGCTATTAACATTCAATCATCACTGAGCAGGCCCTGGATTTTTACCTATCACTGTGAATGCTTGTACTTTGAAGGAGGCTCCTTGCTGATTGGGATTAATTTTTTAATTTTATTCGAAACACCTCTTGGATTGATATTCTTAACCTTCCAATTGAGAATTGTGCCATAGAGGTTTTTCTTGGATTAAAGCCAGCATTCATGCTTTTGGAGCAACTATCAGGTGAAACTGCTATCTTTTCCTTCGTTTATGCCAGTCAGTTCAGCTGCTATAGCCCATAGGAATCACTTTTTTCAGGTGTATCAACATTATAATTCTGATCATAATAGACACCTATTTATATATGGGAGAATGATATAAAAAAATATTATATATCAAGAAGAATTTTAGGGGAAAAACTGTGACAAAGTGGAAAAGCTTTCGTGTGACATGTTTCGTCTTTAGGACTTCATCAGACTAAAGTGATATTTACATTGATGCAGCTGCACATTCACACAAAAAGGGAGGATACTGGAAATTTTAGATTTTAGATTTAAATTTTGTTTTCTTTAAAATATATATTTTGGGTATATAGTCTAACTGATTTCATTTAATTTTTCTTTTTCTTTTTGTTCATATTTCCGTTATTTTGTTAAAAATCCAACATTGACAGATTTTCTATTATTACAATGTGGGATATTTAATAACAAAACCAATAGAAATAAGAACGAAAAGAAAAAGAAACTAAATGAAATCAGTTAGACTCTATACCCAAAACATATCTAAAAAAATAAAATTCCAAATTTAAATTTAAAATTTTCAGCACCCACCTCTCCTTCATGCATATGTGTAGTCACCTCAACAAAAACATCACTTTAGTCCGATGAAGTACTAAAAGATGAAACATGTCATGCAAAAAAAACTTTTCCACTTTGTCAGTTTTTTCCCTAATATATATATATATATATATATATATATATATATATATATATATATATATATAAAAAAGTAAGTATAATTATGTTAAATAAGAGTAAGTCTTCAATCATTTCTGTCCTCATTTAATTTGAGGTGTTAACATCTTTTTCTGATAAAGCAGAATGTTTTTCTAGTAAATTCGCTTTAAATTCTACTCTTGATTCATCTGAGAACTGAGATTCTATTGAGTGATATGCATATATCTCTGTCCATGGTTTCTGCTATCATTTCTAAATTTGATTCTCATAAAGCATATGGACTTCATGGTATCCCTGCAATAGTCCTTAAAAATGTGCTCCTGAACAGTCTTCTGCTCTCTCTAAACTCTACAATAAATTTTTTGCTGCTTCTTGCTTTCACACTTGTTGGAAATCCTCTTCTGTAGTTCCAGTCTTTAAGAACTCAGGCTAACTGTCTGATCCTTTTAACTATTAGCCTGTTAGCTTTATATCTCTTTTTGGCAAAGTACTAAAGGCTCTAATTAACTTTGAACTGGTTAAGCATCTCACATCAGTGTCTTCTTTCAGATATAGCAACATGGCTTTTGCTTCTCTAGGTCTAGCTGATGTGTTAATGATTACTGCTGAAAGAATCTGTCTATATTTCTGAGATGAGGTATTATGTACACTATTGTCCTCATCTTTGTCGCCACATAGCACAGTGCATAAAGGCATTGGTTAGATCCAGTAACAGGACCCAAAGAGTGTGAGTTCAATACCTGGTTAAGGTAGTGGAGAACTTGGAGAAGGGAATTAACCGGCGATAACTGATAACTGACATCCATTAAGCATGGCATGTGGAACTAGAACAGTCTACCCCAGTGAGTGAAATAAAGGGTTCAGCTTGACATTCCAACCACCTGAAGAAGGCTGGAGCGTACAACAGCTGAAACGTAATAAATATGGTGACAAAGATGAGGACAATAGTCTGAATAATTTAAATTGTGTACTGCTGAAAGAGTCAAGCTTTAATGGTTACCCTCTGGCTGTTGCTTTGGAAGGCATTTGACAGTGTTTGATATGCTGGTTGTCTTCACAAGTTGAAAGATTATGGTATTTCTGAATGAATATTTGAACTGATTCAGTCTTTCTTATCAAATCACGAATGTTGTCTTGAATGGCCACTCTTCTAGATCTTTTTGCATATATATAGATGTTCCTTATGGCTCTATCCTTGGACTTTTTTTATTTTTATAAATGACCTTCCTGATGTCATTAGTTCTCAACTCAGTATCTATACAGATGACACAAATATTTATTCCTATCTTAATAGTAAGTCTGATCAGTTTGATAAGGTTAAATTGGCGGCTGATCTAAAAATGACCTACAATCTGTTGTTAACTGGGGCAAGGAGTAACTTGTTCATTTTAATGTCTCGAAACGAAACTTCTCTCTTTTAATCATCTAAGAGAATCTTTTGTAACTTCCATCAACATGGCTGATGCTAACCTCCAAGAGAGGAACTACATGTCTTTTTGGACTAATATTTTCAGCTCTCGTAGAAAGAGTATATTGAATGAATTGTTGAGTCTACAGCTAAAAAGGTTTGTTCACTATGTTGTGCTAGACAATTTTTCTTGCCAGAATCTATCTTGCATATGTATAAGTCTACCATTCATCCTTGCTTGAAAATTGCTGCCATATCTGGTCTTGCTCCTGCTATATATTTCAAGATTCTTGATAAAATCCAAAGAAGAATCTGCAATGTTATTGGTCCTAGCATCTTTGCTTCAGTCACTTTCCCATCATCGTAAGAGAGCTTCCCTATATCTTTTCTATAAATACTTTCATTATAATTGTTCTGATGAACATTCCTCTATGGTACCTAGACTTTATGAATTTAAGTGCAATACTAGATTGGCGGAAAGGTCTCATCATTTTACAGTTGAAATGCCTAGATTTAACCGTGAGTTCTATGCTAACAGTTTATTTAATCACACTTCTCGCTTGTGGAACTGTCTTCTTGCTTCTCAGTCAACTTTGATCTTCAAAAATTTGAATGCCATGTCAATCTTTCTTTTGCTTTCTTAATTCTTGCTTTTTTATTCTTGTCTCTTCTTAATAGGAATTTTTTCGTATTATCTAACACTTGGTAACCCCTTTGCATCCTAGTGACTTTATTGCCTTGCTTGAGGTGAAAAGATAAAAAAAACAAAAAAAACTTTACAGTGAGGTGATCCTGGGAGAACTAGAAGTCCTACCAGGATCTATTATTGGTAGGTACAATCTTAACTAATGATATACAACTGACATAGAAAGGTAGCTGCAGGAACTCTTAGACAAAGTAGTAAAGGAAAGTGAGATGAAAGGACTAAACATCCCTTGTAAGAAATATAGAATGTATGATTGTCAGCAAGAGAAACATTGCATGATGGGAACTATGAAGTGGAAATTCTAAAATCAAACAAGTATAAAAATTTAAGTATCTGGAAGTGTTTTAACAGTGGATAGAAAATGTGGCACTAAAATCTGAAGGCACATTGGAATAGTAAAAGATGCCTTCCAAAAACTAAACAATAAACTACATCTGCGTCCTGGGTAAGACGATAAACAATATCCGACAGCAAGGTCTCTGTCAGGAGGCTTTGTGAAGCATAGAACCACCTCTTAATTGCTGGTGTTCCCAGGTCCACTCTGAGCCAGGGTGGTATGGTTCAAGCTATGGGCAAATAGTTAAACCCCGAACTGGTTTCAAAACACTATGAAAGTGTAAAAACAGGTTTTAGTAGTAGCAACACATTTTTGAAAAAAATTATTACCAGCAATAAATTTTTGAAGAAAAAATTATTACCAGCAATACATTATTATTAGCAATACATTTTTGGAAAAATATTACCAGCAATAAATTTTTGGTAAAAAAAAAAAATATTACCAACAATAAATTTTTGGAAAAAAAAATTATTACCAGCAATACATTTTTGGAAAAAAAATATTACCAGCAATTCAATTTTTGAAAAAATATTACCAGCAATAAAAATCTTGTTGGCATTAAAGCATTGAGGTTGATATGCTGTAAATCAAACCAAACCAAATCCAAACACACAATGTATTGAAAAATAGGAAAAATTTTTTTAGAGATGGAGAAAAGAGTGCTGAACTCTTATGTAATAGTCCTTCTATATGGCAAT